CAGATATTCTCCACAAGTCTTAAAGTTGCCAAGTTTGGAGACCCCTGACTTAAAGTTTGCCAAGGCTGAGAAACAGCATGCTAAACTATGGCACAGAAAGTAGTCTTAATAAAAATGGCTTTATCATCAGGTTTATGCTGACTCTGAGCTTAGTAGAATTGTTACCATTCAAGGTGGATTCCAATTTTCTCATGTTAATCGCAAGAGATTTGTACGTTTTCAAAAGCAAAAGTGCAAATAATGTTAAATGCATAAAATATTGTTGTTTTTTCAAGGGCTGGGCATATATGCTTTTATCACCAGTACTGAAATAAAATAAGCTTATATATTAGCCTGACAATCTATATATGAGCATGAATGAAAAAAAGAGTTAAAAATGATACTCTATTCTCCGGTCCAAAATTTATTCAAATTCAAATTAAATGGAATGAGAAAAAGTTTAAGAGAGACACCATACAGCTAAATGCCTCAGTTTTTAAAAAGTGCTCACAATTTGGAATAAATCTATAGCATTTTATTAAAGGATACATGAGTCTTCTGATTAATGTGATTTTAGCACAGAACTTAAGATTTTTTTGGTGCAAAATGGTATTTTTTAATGGTACAAAGGCCCGCTTTTGCCTAATTCATAGTAGCTTTCTTACTTTTACTCATAAATGGAGAGTTGAAGAAGAGCTAGCATATAGCTGAAATGTGTAATTACTAAGTATTTTAATTAGTTAAGTGGAATGTAAATATATGTTGTCCAGATGCATAATTTTAATTACACGAACTCTAACTGTGCATTTGCTTCTTTTTCCAATGGTTAAGGAATAAAACACGAAGAAAAACAACTTCCGATGCACAGTTAGCTCTGCAATGATTCGTACAGTGTTTCTCAACCATGGCAATTTGAAGAGGTGAAGACTTCTTCTCCAACCAGCATTCTGGGAGTTGAAATCCACACACCTTCAAGTTGCCAAGAATGAGAAATGCTTAAGTCCAACAGCAGCACAAAACAGAGGCATGTGTCAAATTGCATGTATATTTTTTAGTAACCAAACTTGATGCCCATAAATTATGCATATATTCACTTATTCTGCTGGACTTACTTTTGATCTATCAGATCCTGGGGAAAGCGTGGGGTAAAGAGATCTATAGACTTTCAAAAGAAAAATAGGGGCAGAAAATATTGCAGGCAGGCCTTGCTTAATGACTCTAACTGGGACTGAAAACCGTGGCTAAGTAAAGTGGTCGTTAAGTGAAACATCACGTGACTGCACTGCTTAGTAGTGACAGTTCTAGCAGTCCCAGTTGTGGTTGTTAGGTGAGTCACCTGCAATTGTTTAATGAAACATCACGCAATTGCCATTTACAACTTCTTTCTGGCTTCCCTGTTGACCTTTGCCTGTCAAAAGCTGGCTGGGAAGGTCACAAATAACAATCATGTGGGCTTGTTATCACAAATAACAATCATGTGTTCTAAATGCCCGAATTGTGATTATGTGACCGCAGGGGCCCATGAGGCAGTCCGTAAGTCACTTTTCTAGTGCAGCTGTAACTTCAAACAGTCACTAATGAATTATTGTTAAGGAAGGACTACACGTAATCCAAAATAAAGAATGAAAAGAAATACGTAAAATTGTGTCAATTCTGACAAACAGAACTGTGTGCCCTATTTGCCAGTACAATTTACCAGGAATTTCCGCTTCTGTTTCCAATGGCTGCCTTGGGCATTGGTACTGCAGTGTGCATCCGTAGCGATGCGTATCAGCTCCCATTCCTCTGGGGTTGGCTCTGGCCGGTGCTGAAGGGATTTCATCATTTCCTCTTTGCGCCGTCTCTCCCGGTTCTCTTCAATCAGCTTCCGTTTGGCTACTCTCTTGGAGTCATCCAGCACCACTAGGAGGGTGGTGAAGAATGAAGAGGTATGAGAGGAGGGGGGAACTTCACATAGAGCCAATCAGAATTCTGCAACCAATTTGGCCAATTCCAAGGTGCCAAAGGGAATTATGAATAGCCATCTGACAGGACGGCTCAATTAAAACCTTAGGGAATACCAGGACAGCTCTCACGCTATTCCATGGACTCAAAATGGAGGGATTCAAAGATGATCCCTATGCAATTTTACACACCAATTATTTCCCTCTTTTGATCCTTTAACGTGCGTCCATTCTTGGGCACATTTCTTCTCCTCTGCTCCCTGTAACCACTCCCCTCCCCATCTCCCCAACTCCCCCCCTCCCCAGTTCTCCACAGTGGGCGCAATGCCCTTACAGTCCATGGCCATGCCAACAGCAATGCACTTCTTGAATCGACAAAGTTGACACTGGTTGCGGGTGATCTTATCGATGACACAGGAACCATCATATTTGCAGGAGTATGTTGGATGCAGATTTTTCTGAATGGTCCGTCGGAAAAAGCCCTGTAGAAGAGAGACCCAGGCAATTCTGAAAAAGCAGAGCATGCATTCTTTGATTCTCTAACCTCCCATTTTCTACTCTCCCCCACCCTCAAGCTTCTATATTCTATTAAAGAGGACGCTGTCCTGTTGTATGTAGCGCTACTGACTTTTCTAACTAAAGAGACCTTTTTTTCTGCTATAACTATCAGTGACAGACATGTAATCATAAAAATGACTGGGGTAAAAAGATATCATTTTAGTATTTGGAACAGTAGGTTGTCATGTGAATTTGTGGATTTCAAATGGTATGTGTTTCTATGGTTCTAACCCAAAATATAGTCACCTTGCCATATTCTGGTACCGTGGTTTCTTAGGAATGAATACAGGAAAGTTTACTAGGAAACTATTCTCTTTCTACTGGATTCTCTAGAGTTTTCATTTTATTTCACTGAGCCTTCAGAAAAAAAACAAACTTTCCCAAAGACCACATCTGGGAGCTAGTTCTTTTTCTTCCCCATTACCAACCCTTATTTTTTTTTCTTAAGCCTACTATTAGCTGTTAAACTTTTTCAGCTCAGGACTAATTCCACACTTCAACCGAAAGCTGGCTGGCATTTTGCCATAATTGAGTGATTTATGATGCCACTTGAATTTTCTGCCCAGGGCACTGTGTCTGCCTACAGTTTGTTTGTTTTCTATTTAAGCCTGTGTTTCTTTTACCTTTTTGGTTTTTTTAAAAAAAGTAAATAAAGAAAAGCAAAGGTAATGCTTTTTAGCCATGTCAGGTACAACATATTTGTGAAACAGAATCAAAGAGCTGGATATATAAGGGCAGTAACTTTTTTGCCTTTCTCTGCAGGAAACTGATTTTAATTGTTTTAATTATGGGCTAGTCAGAGTCATGGATATAAGTGAGCCTATACATTTACTAACTTACTACCTTAACTCATTCCTCATAGAGGTTGCTGCAAAATGGGAAGATTAGTCCTATCAAAAACAGGGGTCTCCAACCTTGGCAACTTTAAGGCTTGTGGACTTCAACTCCCAGAATTCCTCAGCCAGCTTTGCTTTGCTGGTTGAGGAATTCTGGGAGCTGAAGTCCACAAGTCTTAAAGTTGCCAAGGTTGGAGACCCCTGATCTAGAAGGTCCTAGCTACCAAAAGTAACATATTGTCAGACCATGGAAAACATACGATTTTCGTAATATGTAAATAAAGAGAAAAGAAAAAAGGCAGCTTTAGGATGTCTCTTGAAGTAAATAAAAGGAAGGGAGGAGGCAGAATTGACTAATAACTAAGAGGGAAATTTACTCTGTGTGTATTCCAAGATATATTTAGATTGTTACAAATGTTATATTTCCATGTTAAATTTGGCACTGAAATCAGGTTTTATGACAGTGTTTTACTCAATATCCAACCAGAATCTTTAAATGTCTACTCATCTTTTCCCCATCCCCATCCAAGGAAAAGTAAACACAACTTTGCAGCAATCTGAAGTACTTACAAGAAATTGTAAGGAATTCTTAAAAGTCCACTGTAGAAAATGTCTTGCATGCAACCAATTGTTTGTTTGTGTGTGTGTGTGTGTGTGTGTGTGTGTGTGTGTGTGCTTAACATTATCTTGCCTCTCTCTATACAAAGTAGTTATTTATCAAATTGAACAATTATAAAAGGAAAACCTTTTTTTTTTTGGTTGCACTGGGTCTTTGAACTGTGTTTGAACTGAACCCTCATAGTCCAGATCCAATAGGGATCGGAGGGGGGATAATTGAATGAGGGTAAGATTTGAAGATTTCATTCCTTTTATTATAATATCCATTACACTTACATTTAAAAAAAAACACTCTGCTGAATTTAAAGGCATGCAAACAAGCACATGTTTCATATACTTCTGACTAAACAATGTCAAAATAATAGCATTAAAAAATAACATGAATTAAAAAAATCCATGTGCTATGTCTGGGAATCTAAAAAGATGAATTCCAAGTCATATTGCTACTGAGTCCAGAAATAGACCTCCTGGAAGAGGAGGAGATGGCCATCTCAAGAGTTGGATTACAAGAGGCCATCACTAAATGACACACTGCAGCCCCCAAGTAAAAGGCAGTTTCTGTACCAAGAATGGAGAGACCTTCAAGCAGTGGTGTCTTAACCATTAACCATTAAGCAGACTAAGCATGTGCTTAGGGCACCAGGCCCAAAGGGGGTACCACAAAAACTTTTATGTAGCCTAAGCTTGGCTTCATTTGTACAGTATGTCCCACGGAGGGAGGCACCAAGATTTGTCAGTGTTTAGGGCACCAGTGAGCCTTAATCGGCCATTGCCTTCAGACATGGCTTCAAATTACTGCAATTTAGTTAACTGTAGGAAAAATTCCATGGAGTGAATCATATGCCTGGCTGGAGAATGTCCCTTGTACAGATAATCCTCGACTTACAACATTTCATTTAGTGACTGTTCAAAGTTACAACAGCACTGTAAAAAGCGACATGACCATTTTTCACACTGGCAATCATTGTAGCATCCCCATGGTCACGTGATTTGCATTTGGATGCTTGACAACTGGTTCACATTTATGACGGCTGCAGCAACCCAGGGTCATGTGATCTCCTTTTGCGACCTTTGGACAAGCAAAATCAATGGGGAAGCCAGATTCATTTAACAACCGTGTTACTAATTTAACATTCATTTAACAACTGTGGCAAGAAAGGTTGTAAAATGGGGAGAAACTCACTTAATAAATTTCTCAGTTAGCAAATTGGGATGAATTGAGGACTACCTGTATTTTCTGTTGCAGAGTCCAACACTGACCCTAAAGCGTCATAGGCTCTTATTAAGTTAATTGTCTCCTCCCTGTCTTTAAAAAAAACCCTGTTTATTTTATCTGCAGAAATCAGTTTACAACATTGTACAATCTTTTGTCAGCCACATATTCCCAATTTCTTTACTGTTTCCTATCTTCACTCATTAATCAAATCACATAATTTCTTCTTCCTTTCATTGTGGGCATTTAATATTTATTGTAAATAAGTTCTCCAGGACATAAATGTTTTAAATATTTTGGTGTTCTCTAATAATGTTCAATTACATAATTGTAATTGAAGTGTGGTAGCCAGAGCAATAAATTTAGACCAGGAAGATATAGATTCAAAAACATATTATAGATGTCTGTGGAGATTCTCAGTCATCCAGGTCATGGTTGCCCCAAAGGTGCTTTTTCAAGAGGCAACTGGACTTTCTGGTTTTTCTTTGAAGACGTTTTGCTTCTCATCCAAGAAGCTTCTTCTTCAGCTCTGACTGAATGATGGGGAATGGAAGGATTTACAGGTGAAACTCGAAAAATTAGAATATCGTGCAAAAGTTCCTTTATTTCAGTAATACAACTTAAAAGGTGAAACTAATATATGAGATAGACTCATTACATGCAAAGCAAGATAGTTCAAGCCGTGATTTGGCATAATTGTGATGATTATGGCTTACAGCTCATGAAAACCCCAAATCCACAATCTCAGAAAATTAGAATATTACAACAAGGATTGTACATAGAACAATATCGGACCTCTGAAAAGTATAAGCATGCATATGTACTCAGTACTTGGTTTGGGCCCCTTTTGCAGCAATTACTGCCTCAATGCGGTGTGGCGTGGAAGCTATCAGCCTGTGGCACTGCTGAGGTGTTATGGAAGACCAGGATGCTTCAATAGCGGCCTTCAGCTCTTTTGCATTGTTCGGTCTCATGTGTCTCATCTTTCTCTTGGGGTTCAGGTCAGGCAAGTTTGCTGGACAATCAAGCACACGGTCATTGAACCAGGTTTTGGTGCTTTTGGCAGTGTGGGCAGGTGCCAAGTCCTGCTGGAAAATGAAGTCAGCATCCCTATAAAGCTCATCTGTGGAAGGAAGCATGAAGTGCTCCAAAATCTCCTGGTAGACAGCTGCGTTGACCCTGGACTTAATGAAGCACAGTGGACCAACACCAGCAGATGACATGGCTCCCCAAATCAACACAGACTGTGGAAACTTCACACTGGACTTCAATCATCTTGCAGTGTGTACCTCTCCATTCTTCCTCCAGACTCTGGGTCCTTGGTTTCCAAATAAGATGCAAAAGTTGCTCTCATCAGAAAAGAGGACTTTGGACCACTGAGCAACAGACCAGTTCTGTTTTTCTTTAGCCCAGGTAAGACGCTTCTGACGTTGATTGTTGTTCAGGAGTGGCTTGACAAGAGGAATACGACATTTGAAGCCCATGTCCAGGATCCATCTGGCTCTTGATGCACTGACTCCAGCCTCAGTCCACTCCTTGTGAAAGTCCCCAACACTTTTGAATGGCCTTTTCCTGACAATCCTCTCCAGGCTGCGGTCATCCCTGCTGCTTGTACACCTTTTTCTTCCACACTTTCCCCTTCCACACAACTTTCTATTAATGTGCTTTGATACAGCACTTTGGGAACATCCAACTTCTTTAGCAATTACCTTTTGAGGCTTTCCCTCCTTATGGAGGGTGTCAATGATGGTTTTCTGCACATCTGTCAGGTCAGCAGTCTTTCCCATGATTGTGATTCCTACTGAACCAGACTGAGAGACCATTTAAAGGCTCAGGAACCCTTTGCAGGTGTTATGACTTAATTATCTGATTAGAGTGGAACACTTTGAGCCTAGAATATTGAACCTTTTCACAATATTCTAATTTTCTGAGAATGTGGATTTGGGGTTTTCATGAGCTGTAAGCCATAATCATCACAATTATGACACATCACGGCTTGAACTATCTTGCTCTGCATGTAATGAGTCTATCTCATATATTAGTTTCACCTTTTAAGTTGCATTACTGAAATAAATAAACGTTTGCATGATATTCTAATTTTTTGAGTTTTTGAATTTTTTGAATTTTTTCACCTGTATACTCCTTGCAGACAGCTGGACATTTGCATTCTTTTAGTGAGTCGTTAAAGTCACCTGGAGGTTTATCTGGGTCATCAAGGTCGCCTGTGTGGTGCAAATAGGTGTGAAGCCTTCTTGGA